CCCCAAAACCCCAAAACCCCAAAACCCCAAAACCCCAAAACCCCAAAACCCCAAAACCCCTTGTATTTAAGTGCAGGTTGGATGGTGGGTTATAATGAAATTTATAGAAGATAGGGCTAATTTGGTGCAGATTAGGAGAGCGAAGGAGTTGGAAGTGATGGAGGAAGAGCTAGGAGTTGATGATGCTGTTGTTGGTAGTGGACTGACTAGGGTTTATGGAGATTCATTGTTGGGAATGTGTAATGGACTTGAGCTTAATTTATCAAATAAGGTCGACCAACTTTGACTTAAAATGCTCAATAACTTCTCTGGTCAGAAGTCTTTGGGTATTTATGCTCAAATTTCAATAAATACGACCAAAAGTGTTTCGCAATGTAAGAAATGGTTGAATTCAATGAACTTCTTGAAGATCGAGAGCTTGACTCTAGCTCATACCGAGAGAGCAACCGGTCATCTTGACTTTAGAAGAATTAAAAATTGATTCTTATCAAGACTACAAAATGTTGTGCACGAAATCAATTTAATTCACTTTTCATTGCCAAAAGAGGTAATAACATCAGTATTGTCAAAAGGAAGCCATCTTGAGGATATCAATTTCAATGATTGCACTATTGATCTCGAAGGAGTCAGAATCAAGAGCCAAGTGAAATCAAGGACCAGATATCTTGATTTTACAGGATCAACATTTATGAGAGGGTTTAGGAAAGGAAAAGATTTTAGTGACTTCTTCGAAAGAATCTGCATACTATTAAAGCAATCATATCTCAACTCACCTCTTCGATATGTAATTTGCCAGAAGTGGGCAATCACCGAGAAATCTTTCAAATTTCTGATTTCTCAGTACAAACTTGAGAAGTTTGAATTCTTACTGGCGAGGAACCGATGATAATAATTTTCCTTCTTGTCAGACTTATTTAATAACCAATTAAATCAAAGAATTTTTCAACAGGTGTGTAGCGTAATGGGGTTTTGGGGTTTTGGGGTTTTGGGGTTTTGGGGTTTTGGGGTTTTGGGG